TAACCAGTTTTTAAAAACAAAAGTAGCACACTACATTATTTTGCATCCTTCAAATTGTTTTCACATATTATCATGAGCAAGAATTGTTCTTTCTATAATTCAAAGAATGACAACTCACATTATAAGTGATTGCAGCCAGCTTTTCCAATGACATCTGCCATGCAGTTACTGACAGGGGATCTCAGTAAAGTCAACATTCTTAAAAAGTGGAACTAGTAAAATTTAAAATAACCTTTATTAACATTTCTCATAATTATAGTCCCATATGAGAAAAATTACACTTTGCTAGAATGAAAGAATTTTCCTAATCTTTGGGGTGAGGTGGTATGTGGAGAGAATATTCTGCAAGTGATACTGAATCAATGATTAAGTGCAGAGCATTGATCTTTTTCAGAGTGTTCATTAACTGGCATTGCTGTTTACATCAGGAGGACCAAAAAGTGCTAGGAAAGCCCTGGAACATTAAGCCTGACCTGACTGACTGGCATGGCTGTCGGAGCAGCAGTGGGTCATAGGCCTTCATGGAGCCCTGGAAACTCAAGCTTTGGTAGAAAGATCCTGAATGATTCAAGCATTTTCCCTGGGAGAATGCTTTAAGATGTACCACTGCTTTTGTTTTTCGGGTGACTACAGCCCACATATGCTTAAAGTGAATTCTTAATTTGGGGTTCATTTGGGGATTTCAATTTCTTTACAGTCTGTAATGAGTTATTCTTTCAACTGTGTGCTTTTTTTTTTTCCATAAAGGCACTTTACATTGTGCTGAAAAGATTACATTCTTTTGGCTTTGGAAAAATATTTCCTGTTCAGTTCAGGCCATTAAAGCCTGTTAGCATTTCACATCTGGAAGCCCCTGTCCAAGTCTGCCTTCCATCACCAGCTCAGCGAGTGTGGCGGCCAGGCTGGCCTCTGGCGTGTGTGTAAAACTCCCCAGACTTGTTTACTTCCGGGTGTGCCCTTGCAGTTGGGGGTGGGCAGAGGGTGGGGGAGCTTCCTTCCTCTGTGTGTGTGTGTGTGTGTGTGTGTGTGTGTGTGTGTGTGTTCTTCTTCCTCCCAGGTTGGGGAGGGGTCTTCCCTCCCAGCCGGCCCTGGATGCCCCCTCCCCTCTCCTGCTTTAACACAGCTCCTTTTTCCACTCCAACCCAGTTTTCCAGAAAACTCACCCAAACATTTTCCATGTAAAAGGGGCAGATTCCCCCAGAGGGAGAAGGAATTAAAACCCAAAACGCTGTCAGATCATGGCCTCCCAGCATCCGGGCCAGCTTGGGGCATGTCAAGCGGTGGGGTGCTCCTTCCCCGGGGCACAGGGTCTGCACCTGTCTTGGAGGTTTTAAAGGGGAACCCATCGTGGGTGCTGCGTAGTTGTGTGAATATTGAGATTTTTGGATATTCTGTTTTGCAGAGGGTCAGTTTACCTCCAGAGGCCCGCCCGACTGACTCTCAGGAAGATGGGGCTGATGGATTCTGCTGGGCTTGGCCTTCGTGCTGAGAACTCCTGCAGGGAATCCGCCCCTGGGCTCCCAGGCAGTAGAGCCAGGAGGGGGCAGGGTGACCCGGGGATACTGTCCTCTGGATTCTAAGAGGAGGTCTCCCAAACCCAGCAGCACACCCAGGGGGAAATGATTTCACGGTCTACAGGGAGCAGAATACAGTCAGTGCATGTCTGCTGACCACACACGACCAGAGCCCGTGCCAGGCAACCCAAGGCAGCCTCTGGGGGGACCAGGCTGAGGCCCTGGGCCCAGGGGTCTTGAGTGAGGTACCCCCTCCTGATGCTCCTCCGGAAGACGTGGCCGATTACAGTGTCTCCCGGTTCTGTGTTACCAGGAGACTCAGCTCGTGCCTGTGTTGCTGGGAGGAGGGGGGTGATAAGGCTCCTCTGTCCGCCCTCAACCTCACTGGAGTGGGCTTGAGGCCTGGATCCGACAGTCATCTCCCCAGAGACACAGGGCCAGCACCAGAGAGTCAAAGTCAAGGTGGGGTTTTCACTTGTTCCTTAAGATGGCCTTCGGGGAGGGCATTTTTGAGACAGGTGGCTGTTGACGTTTTCACGGGAGAAGCGTGCAGTGCGAGTCAGGTGCCCCTCGGCCGAGGCCGCCCACTGCCCAGCGTGTTTCTCCAATTGATTTGAATATGCACCGCATCTTTCTTCACACCTGCGGGAAGCCACTGGGCCAACTAGATGATCGGCAGTTGAAACAGCCAGCTCAGCTAAACAACCGCCCACATTTCCCAAGTGCTGGGGGCGGGAAGGCCACTGGGGGAGGTCTTTGTAGGGGGAGCTGGGGACGGTGAGGAGAGCAGCAAGTACTCAGTGTGCCCACGGGAGCTCTTCACTCACGTCGTGGTGGGGTGGTGAGGCTGCCTCCCCTGCTGACCGCTGTCAAAGGCCCAGTTGAGTTGTGGGGGGCTCTCTCTGCAGGACGGGGGAGGTGGCAAAGGCGTATTAATTCCCATCCTAGGCCCAGGTGGAGACTCAGCAATCCACAGCTCCCTTGTATTTTGGGGCTCCAGGAAGGCCCTGGGAGTGCTGGAGTTTGGGGTGGGCCTGGAGGATGGCAAGGCAGGAGGGTCAGGGGAGTCGGGGTACCACAGGGGAAGGGAACATGGAATTGTATAGGGTCTTCTAGGCTCGGTAGGGGAGACCATTTTGATGGGGTCACCAACATCTTCTGAGTGTTTTACGCAGTTTGGAATCAGACAGACCTTCTGGCGTTGGCATTGCCACTGACTAGCCAAGCGTTCTCCTCTGCAGGCCTCAGTTTCCTCATCTGTAAATGGGAGTTAGGCCTGACTCAGTAAAGTAAGAGGTGTGGCACCCTCAGCATCTTGGAGCTTGCTGCAGGTATTTCAATTAGTGGCAGATAGATGCAGGAGGGGCCAGGAGTGGGTGAGGCCAGAGGCTATCATGAGATGCTGAGGCCTTGAACTGAGAGCATCAGGACAACTGGAGAGAGGTGATGCAGGCTGAGGGTTTGGTGACAAGTTTGAAGTGGTCCCTAAGTAAGGAACCATCTGGCTTGGCTTGGATCTATCTGGCTCTGAGCTGTGTACCCAGAGGGCCCAGAAAGATGTAGGGAGGGCATATGGGTTCAGCCTGTGGGCCACGTCTGACCAGTTGCTGGGAGCTTCCTGGCCCATTGTAGTGA